ATTGGATTCTTTCGTCCTAAGTGCAGGATTCTGCACTTGTCCTTGTTGAACCTCATCAGATTTCTTTTGGCCCAATCCTCCAATTTGTCTAGGTCCCTCTGTATCCTATCCCTGCCCTCCAGCGTATCTACCACTCCTCCCAGTTTAGTGTCATCCGCAAACTTGCTGAGGGTGCAATCCACACCATCCTCCAGATCATTAATGAAGATATTGAACAAAACCGGCTCCAGGACCGACCCTTGGGGCACTCCGCTAGATACCAGCTGCCAACTAGACATGGAGCCATTGGTCACTACCCGTTGAGCCCGACAATCTAGCTAACTTTCTACCCACCTTGTAGTGCATCCATCCAGCCCATACTTCTTTAACTTGCTGACAAGAATACTGTGGGAGACCGTGTCAAAAGCTTTGCTAAAGTCGAGGAATAACACGTCCACTACTTCTCGTTCTGCCAGTCACTAAGACAAACAAGTTTGTTTACATTTACAAGAGATAATGCTGCCCTCTTCTTATTTACAATGTCACCAGAAAGTGAGAAGGTATTTTTGCAAGGTATTTATGTGCCAGATATGCTAACCATTCATGTGCCCCTTTATGCTTCAGCCAACGTTCAAGAGGACATGCTTCCATGCTGATGATGCTAGTTAAAAAAATAATGCGTAAATTAAATTTGTGCCTGAACTCCTTGGGGGAGAAGTGTATGTCCCCTGCTCTGCATTCTGCCTTATATGTCATGTTATAGCAGTCTCGGATGATGACCCAGCACATGTTGTTCATTTTAAGAACACTTTCACTGCAGATTTGACAAAACACAAAGAAGGTACCAATGTGAGATTTCTAAAAATAGCTACAGCACTTGACCCAAGATTTAAGAAACTGAAGTGCCTTCCAAAATATGAGAGGGATGAGGTGTGGAGCATGCTTTCAGAAGAGCAACACTTAAAAGAGCAACACTTCGATGCGGAAACTACAGAACCTGAACCACCAAAAAAGAAAATCAACATTCTGCTGGTGGCATCTGACTCAGACAATGAAAATGAACATGCATTGGTCCGCACTGCTTTGGATTATTATCAAGCAGAACCCGTCATCAGCATGAACGCATGTCCCCTGGAATGGTGGTTGAAGCATGAAGGGACATATGAATCTTTAGCACACCTGGCACGTAAATATCTTGCAATGCCGGCTATAATAGTGCCATGCGAATGCCTGTTCTCGCTTTCAGGTGACATTGTAAACAAGAAGCGGGAGCATTATCTCCTGCAAATGTAAACAAACTTGTTTGTCTGAGCGATTGGCTGACCAAGAGGTAGGACTGAGTGGACTTGGCAGGCTTTAAAATTTTACATTGTTTTATTTTTGAATGCAGTTTTCTTTGTACATAATTCTACATTTGTAAGTTCAACTTTCATGATAAAGAGATTGCACTACAGTACTTGTATGAAGTGAAGTGAAAAATACTATCTTTTTTGTTTTTGTACAGTGTATTTGTAATCAAAAATAAATATAAAGTGAGCACTGTACATTTTGTATTCTGTGTTGTAATTGGAATCAATATATTTGAAAATGTAGAAAACATCCAAAAATATTTAAATAAATGGTATTCTATTATTAACAGTGCGATTAGTCGCATGATTAATCATGATTCTTTTTTTAATTGTGCGATTAATCACAATTAATTTTTTTAAATGTTTGACAGCCCTAGTCTTCCCCGAATTCGGTCTGCTGCCATTTGGGGCTGAGATCATACTGCTTCAAGGATGATACCAGTGCACCGGAAGGTGTTCTTACAGCAGACTGCTGCCGTTTGCTCCAGACCATGCCATCCCGAGTTTTTACATGAAAGTCCGTGTTCTGTTTCCGCTGCGAGGGGGTTGAGAGTCGGCATTTAGTCGAGTGGCTAGGTGTTGCACGAAACCAAATGTCAAGACACAAAGGCAGCTGCAAAGGAGGAACAATGTTGTCAGCCGCATTTGCTATAAGTCATTTTTTACTTCAGTCTCCCCTGGGGATCTGGGATTGTTGGATATCAGCAAAGACACGTCTTCTTTCTGGTACAACTTGAATTAATTACCCTGGTAACACTTTATTTACCTTTTGTTTGTTACCAGTGATTAGAATTTTATATACAAATAAACTAAGTTTGGTTACCAGATTTGAATTCGATAGTTTGATTCTTTCCACTCTCCCCAAACCTGTGGGTGGTGAGAGCAGTGCACCCTTGAAATACGTGGGTGTGTTTTTATTTTTGATGGAGAGTCCCTGGCAAGGAAACATCTATTCTCCCAGAGCCTTAGCAGTGGCAGAACAGTTTTGTTAACCTTTTAAAGGAATCACTGTCTCCCACTTTGAGAGAGATCCACTACCTCCTACCTTTGGTGTAAGAGAGAGCGGTCCCACAAAATCAATTCAGAGGGCTTAATTGGTCCCCTGATGTTCTTCAAAGGGAACACTTACACTGAGAGTTTTAACCGCAAAGTTGGTTTTACAATATTTTATTTTCCTTGTATAGGACTTTAAATTAGGGATTTAGTCCTTTTGCATTCCCTTAATCAAAGAAATTCAGTGGGAGTGACAGGTTGGCTCACAAACACGTGAGAGTCTATTTACATCACGCCCCTATGATTCCCTTTTGGAGAATAAATTAGCTTTATTATTTGGACGTACACAGGGTCCATGTGACCTTTTACTTTGAGAACATAAAGGGGCTTCCTACGGCAAGAGGCTAAAACACTAATACAACACAACAGTGGGATGTGTAAGAGGTGAACCATTTGAGCAGGCAAACCCTCAAATACCAGAAGGACAAACATTTTATCAGGGCATTATATACCCAAACAGAACCCTAAAAGAATACAATTCACATATGAATTGACAATACACCACAACATTCCATTCCAGTACATTATGCTTAGCCGAATCAACCTATAATCCAAAAGACCAGGTTAATCCCAATCTCAACATCAAGTTAACGCTGAGGTCTGGTACGGTCTAATCCTGAGCTCAGGCCCAGTGTTAGAATTACTATTATGTGACGAACCCTGACGTAGACAGTTGCAACACTCACATGAAGGAAAAGCCTTCCATATTTACAAGGTTTTTTAACAGTATTAACAAATTTGGAAACACTCCAACCCAACAAGGCTAGATAGAAATAACACAGAATGAGCATATGAGCCTTTATATACTCACACCATCCCTTGCATAAAGACCTGAAAGTCATCCTCGTCATCCTCACCACTACCAGTGGTCACTGTCTTGGCATCTTCCAAGGCACACAGGTCAGGATAAAATGTTTATAATGTGTTATGCTGACACCACTATGCCTAATGCATATTCAATAGGGGTTTCAATCCCTTTTCCTTATTTGAACTTCCACACCCACTAATGTTGGGATGCCCTTCTTCCATACGTTACTAGGCCTTTTACCTCAAGTTTATTAGCATGTACGTCCATTAGTTGCCATGGCATTCATGGCGATCAGACATCTGCTGATGTTCCAACTTGAAAATATCTCAAGCTGGTATAAACTGACATTGTGAGGTTACCTGTCAGCAGTTTAGTCAGTCCAGCATTCTATCTTGTGATATCTTACAATTAAAGCAACGATTCTGTCACGGAGGTCATGGTTTCCATGACTTTCCAGGATCACTTCCAGGACAGGGCTGGAGCAGCAGCTGCCAGAATAGCTGAGCAGCAGCCAGCCCAGGGCCAGCAGAACAGCTGACTGGCGGCCAGCCCCGGGGCCACTGGAACAGCAGTCCCCAACCTGCAGGAGCAGCAGCTGGGATTGGGTCAGCGCCTGCCGCAGGAGCAGTAGTGGTGGGGCTGGAACAGCTGCAAGCCCCGACAGTGCTCTCTTTGTCCCACCCCTCACCCGGGTATTTTTAGTAAAAGTCAGGGACAGGTCGCAGGCTTCCATGGTTTTTTCTTTATTGCCCATGACCTGTCCCTGAGTTGTATTAAAAATATCCATGACAAAATCTTAGCCTTACTTATGATCCAGGTTTACTCCTCATTAGCTGCTTATGCTTTTTGGGCCCTATGCCTTGATCAGTTTAGCTAAACTACTGTCTGACAGCCCTGGAGGCTTGGTATGCTCATTGGGTTCCTGCCTTAAATTATACCTGTGCCTTCCTTGGCAAACACCTACACCTACAGGCTACAGCCCTGAAGATGGGGGTAACATGGCAAGAACTCTTAGAAGAAAGGATGACTCACCATGAGTATGGCCTTACTAGATAACTTCCTGGACCATTAGAGATAGTCAGGGATCTAAGGATGGAGCTCTCAATGACCCCTGAAAGTAGAAGACCTTCAGATACTTCTCCCGGTTTTCCATACTCTCTATATCCATCCAGCAATAATTTTAGACTACACTGTCACACAGCACCTGCTGAGTGCAGCTGTTACAACACTCCTTGCTGGGGAGTGACTCTCACCAAGATACATGGAACACAGAACATATGTTGGTCCATTGCAGATTCTGAGTCTTGCACGATGGACACTTCTTACAGCTAGCCACTTTGTCACAGTAAGCCATGGTTCAAAACCAGCAGTGAACCAGGCCTGATTCACAAGGCAGCCTTGGCAGCAGCAGGTCACTCCTCTGAGACCTGGAGACCTGAGACAATACAAGGAACAGAAATGATCTGGTTTCAAAAACCACCAGAGAAGAGAGTAGACCAACATAACCCCCCATAATTATCCTGAGATGAACAATGTGTTTCTAAGAACTATTGCCAGAAATACAGTGGATACTACAGAGAGAGACTCAGAATGCACTGAGCTAAGTGGTGCTGGAAGGAGGGAGGTTGGGTCTGTATAACCTTGTATAGCCTATTTCAGAGTAGCAGCTGTGTTAGTCTGTATTCGCAAAAAGAAAAGGAGGACTTGTGACGCCCTAGAGACTAAAAAATTTATTTGAGCATAAGCTTTCGTGAGCTCACGAAAGCTTATGCTCAAATAAATTTTTTAGTCTCTAGGGTGCCACAAGTCCTCCTTTTCTTCTTGTATCTGCAAGGAAGTGACTATCCCATAAGTGAGGATCAGCCAAGGCAATTCTCAAAGGTCAGAAACATAATTCCAATGCACATTTAAATTGAATATAGGAGTCACAAAAGAAGGGTCTAAAACTGGTTGGCAGAAATATGTTGACACAGGGTAAGTGAATTACATCAGTACAGTATCTGTCTTCCTGCAGATTCTGTTGGCACGCTCACTTGAATCAATTTGTGATGATACGCTTAAGCCTGCCAAGGAAGCCAACTACATGATCTGATCTTATGCCAAGCTCCTATTAACAACTGCATTTTCTATTGATGCCAGGATGTTCATTAACTGGGATCCATAATTACAAATAATTTAGAGACATACCATTTTCAATCACTTGCCAGTTGTAACCTAAACCTGACCTTAGAATGCTTTATTCTTAGCAAAAATTCACAGAGTAATCATCTTGCAAATGACTGCTATAGCACAGATATAATCAAGCAGAGGGTCAGAACACTAGAAATGTCTTTAGATCCCTTGGGAAATGCCCTGGGAGTAAAGCAATCGCAATCAGGATTGGGGGGCGCCTTGTGCTCGGTGCTGTTCAAATTCAGACACATAGACAGGGCATCCAGCTCTGAAAGCTTATAGCCTAATTTAAGGCAAGGTGAAACAAGTGAGCAACACACAACAGGAGGGAAGATGCAGGAAGAAAGCAAAATACATGGCTACATAAGCTAGAAAGTACAAAATGTGGGTAAATCCAAATCAGTAACTTTTTAACGGATTCGAAAGCCAGCAGGGACCATTGTGATTATGTGGCCTGAGCACCTGTGTAACACAGGCCAGAGAACTTCCCCAGAGTAATTACAGAGCAAAAAATACAACTTGGTTTAATCAGATCCCATCTTTTGCTGGGAGGTGTAACACAGCAGCTGTACGTGCGCCCAGAGTGCATCTCCACGCATGAGTGCTGCACACAGCTTCCTCCCTAGTAACCCACTTCTATCCAGAGCTCTGCTTATCGAGAGGTGGAACCCCACCCCCACCCTTTGGAAGAGGGAATCTGTGACGTGAGATTAATCACTACACTTTGGGATCATGGAGTTCTCCAGTCAGATAGCAAATCTCTATTGTGGTTTGGATTCACAGCTTGACCATGCACGTACTGGGTCAGCTTTGAACAGCATTGCATTGTACCACTTGAGAGTTTGGATTTTGTACCTCTGTGCCAAACTGTCGATAGAGGGGATTGTGACAAAACCCAAGAAACATTCACATTATCCAAAAATACGAAATGAAGAGGCTTTAAATCTGCTAGCAGCAATCCAGTGTATTACAGTAACCTTATAAGGATTATAAGCGGATAAGATTTCTCAAAAGCAGCTCCTATAATGCCATTTAATCAGGACAGAGACTTTCCCGGAGAGGAAGGAAAATGATGTTCTTTCTAGTGAATAAGAGAGAGAGCCCATAAAGCACATGCCTTTGAACATCACACTCCATTTCTTCGAGTACAAAGTTAAGGTATCGTAGAATCCATTTAAACAAACATCTGATAAGCCAGAAATGAAAAGATACATTTTCTTTCTATGAAGCCATAATTTACATATTAACACTGAAAAACCTTTGGATTCCACCTAATTTGTTCATAAACAGAATCTTTCAATATTTAATATAAAACAAACTAGTATCACAAACAACTGTCAAAGCCACGAGAGTTTGTGCGCTGTGATGTTCTACTGTATTATAACAATACAAAACTACAAAAATAAGATGTTACGTTATCTGTAAAATATATTCACTTGCTTGCAAAATGACTTACGGATTCAAATTTTTAAATTATGCAATAAAATGTTACATTCTAGTTCATACTTTCCAGAGAAATAGATGTTAATTCTGTTCTGATGGAGAGCAATATTCTCTGAACCATGAACTAGCTAAGCCAATTCATAGTATTTTCCAGTTTCTGGATCGAAGTAACAGTTTAGACATGGATCATACAAAAGAGTCAGAACTTCCTCATCCTCCTCAGCACTGAAGTCATCTTCACCTGTGTGAATGGAGAAAAATAAGAGTAAAATTACCCTGCTAGTCACTCTTGAAACACAGGAAAAGCACCCTTCTATCACAGATGACAATCTGGCAGAGTGCCTCTTTAGGAGTGTGTAATCTCTTGGCTTTTGTACAGAATACTAAAATTGTTACCTTTGAGGTTAACATTTATTCATGTTTTCATTCATGTTTCTAAAGGTTTATATTTAGTTAAGGTAAAATTATAATGCAAAGTTTGCCTAAGAATTGAAAGCACAGACAGTTTGCTGGAATAGTAGATTTAAAAGTTGGTCTAAAAATCTATCTATTAATAAGGGGTCAAAGGACTCCTACCGGAGATCTTTCTCACAGAATTGCTCAAATAATTTTATATTAGTATGCACAAAAAAATACAGTGAATCAGCTCTTAATCTGTGAAAATGAAACTGCATTAACCATTAAAATGTTCTAGATGAAAGAATCAGATAATCTAACATAAAGCAAAAGGTCTTGTTTTAGAGATTTTATCCTTGCTATGCTTGTCTCACACAACTTACCTTTAAGCTTGCTAACTTATTATTTAATTTGATCAGTTTTCTATTGTTGAAAGTTATAAATGTATTAAATATAAGTAATTAAGTATGTACAATATGTTTCATTAACTGGTTTTAAACAGGTGGGTGGAGAAATTCTGTGTCAAAGCTAGTCTAACGAATTTATTACGTCAGTAGTGCTGTAATAGGTAAAATCAAGCTGGCATTTCTTTGACTATAAACTCCTTGTGCATTGGATCATGCTTCAAGCTGGTAAACAAACTTACCTAAAATGTTACTGGTTTGGTAACTAGAGATGGTGTTATTCTGATAAACCTTTTTTACGTATAGAGCAGCAGAAATAATAATTTAGATCCTGCTCCAAATGCAGTTTGCTATCCCTAAACCAAAAATGGGTTCATTTAAAAAATGTATAAAATTTGTAAGTAATTAGTCCTTATGTATAGTGAGGCAGTGCACCATTTTGAAAAAAAACACAGCAAATCAACTATGAAACATTCAAGAAATGTAACTGAAAATTAATTTTCACGCATGCACTGCAATGACTGCATTTCCTACTGTCTTGACATCATACTGGTCATTACATCATGACATTATAGGTTCATTATAGTTTTGTTATAACAGTAAAAAGATGTCAGCGCAAGTCTCTGGAAACCAAAGTTACAATGCAAAATCAAAAGTTTGGTGATCATGTGGGCCAAATTCTGATGTCAGTTACTCCGTATAGATACACAGTAGATGGAATCCACTGATCCATCCTCCGTTGCCCATTCCCAACTTCTGGCAAACAGAGACTAGGGCCACGTCAGAGTTTTTGCATCCCAGGTGTTGCATCCCTGCCCATCCTGGCTCATAGCCACTGATGGACCTATCCTCCATGAACTTTTGCTATTGGCTTCAGTGGGGCCAGATTTTCACCCAGTAACTCTACTAGAGAGCATGGTCAGATGACACGCAAGAAAATTTAGCAATGCTTCATTTCACTAAAAGGAATAATGTCAATTCAGTTTCGACTAACACTAAAGAAGTTTGTTACCGCTAAAACAAGCAATACGCACCCTTACTACAACTTCCTTGTTCCTAGACTTTACTGCAAGTTAGAAATTTTGTAGAAAAACTTACATTTTGCAAGATAACACCATTAGTGATTTTTTTTCCAGGTAGCAGAACAACCAATAAGAATTGGGTCTACCTCAGTTCCAACAACTACTGAAATGCACGATACAGAGAAATTCAAGTACATTTTTATAATATTTCTACTGCTTTCCGGCAATACAATATTTCTATTTCTTGAATGTCAGTTTGTACATGCATTCGACGAAGTGGGTATTCTCCCACAAAAGCTTATGCTCCAATACGTCTGTTAGTTTACAAGGTGCCACAGGACTCTTTGCCGCTTTTACAGATCCAGACTAACACGGCTATCCCTCTGATAGTTTGTACATTAACCCTGATGTACAAGATTGTAATGCAGGAGTCAGATTTTCTAGCCCATCATCCATTACAGGCGAAGGGCGTATGAAACCTCTCAGCACGAAAGAGTTAATAGGATGCAGTCAGCTAATAAATCAGTATAAATCTAATATTTTGGGCATTATGTTAACTGCAAGAATGTTTTTAGGATATGGAAATCAATTCTTAGCCCCAAGTAGAAGTACACTGATAGCACTAAAGATGGATATGTACTATAAACGTTTCATATAGGAAAGTTCTTTTCTCAGTTCTGCCTTTTATAAAAGCTAAATGTAAGTTATGATATATAAGTTTTTGATAGGAAATAATTGACAGTTGAATGCAATCTGTACCTAGCATTTCATCCTAAACGTTTACCTCTTGCTCAGAACAGTAATGCAAATCAGGTGGTTTGAACGCGCCGCTACCTCATAGGAAGTAATAGCCTGTTATGCTAACACCCCTGGTTTCACCACACTCAGCGTCTATTTACAGCTGGGATTGCACAACGATATATGGGTTATATTATCAGGTGGCCAAAAAATAGGCTGGTGAGATAGATGCGCACAGAAATACAGGGTACTTGCCTGTCCAGTAATTAGCGTTCTTTGAGATGTTTGTCCTCGTGGGTGCTCCCCATCAGGATGTGGGTGTACCAGGGCACACTTGATGAGAAATTTTTCGCCAGCCGTGTCTGTGGGTCTGCACCTGCACCCCATACAGCCTTGTGGTCCAGTACAAGGGCATATAGGAAGGGGTGATCTTGCCGTCGCTCCACTTCCTTCTCAGCTACAAAGCCCAACAGCAGGACTCCGCATTAGAGGGAAAGAGGGCAGGTGGAGCAGCACCCCTAGAGACAAAACATCTGGAAGAACTCCGGTTACCGTACAGGTAAGCAATCTCTCCCTCTTCAACACTGAATTTCGTCTCCCATTTTGTTGCCCAGTCTCCCAGTTTTGCGAGATCCCTTTGTAACTCTTTGCAGTTTGCTTTGGACTTAACTATCTTGAGGGCCACAATAGCGGAACAGGCATATTTGAGGACTTGTCAGTTCTCTGCGTCTGTGAAGGCAGATGAGGGCTGCAGCAGGATGGAGACCTCCGGTTGCCTCAGACTCTCCTGCCACCGGGTCCAGGCTCCTTCCTGTCAAGTTTCGTGAGGTTGTTGCCTGCACACTGGCTCCCACTCGTTAAAAGATTTCATGCATAGGCCTCTGCCAAGGGTATAACATCTCTCACTATCAAAGTCCTGTGGTGATAGATGAGTGGTGGTGGGAACAGGAGCAATGAGCTCTGGGAGTCCCTAGTCACAAATCTGCATGCAGGTGGCAGCCGTGTGTTGGTCGTCTTGTGCTTAGACTTGTGAGACAGAAGTGCAATTTTGGCAGCTGCCACCATGACTGAGCAGTCCTTTTCAGGATCCCATCTGCTCATCCTGAATAGGGAAGGGGCTAGAAAAGGTGCCCTGAACATAGGCTGTCTCAATGCCCTCCTGGCTGGATGGCTGTGTCCAGCCGGATTACTCTACCTACGCTCAGAACATCCAAAGCAAAATAATGAAGTTCACCACTTGGAATGTTCGCACTCTCATGGATTCCCCGAACAGTGATGGTCCTGAAAGAAGAACTGCCATAAGAGCTAGAGAACTTGAAAGACCTGACATTGATATTGCTGCCGTAAATGAGATCCATTGGGCAGATGAAGACCAACTGAAAGAAGATGAAGGTGGTTATACCTTCTTTTGGAAAGGAAAGACATCTGAAGAGAGGCATATTCATGGGATTGGTTTTGCCATCAAAAACAAAATTGCTAACCAGCTTTTAGAACTCCCTATGGGTATTAACGAATGTCTCATGACTCTTCATCTTAAGCTTAATAACAACCAGTATGCCAAGGTCATTAGTGTGTATATTCCCAAAGTGGACGATGACGAAGACAACAAGGAGCAGTTCTACTGTGCTCTTGATGAAGTTCTCACTGCCACAGCCAGGGAAGACAAGCTTATCCTCATAGGTGACCTCATGGGTGACACCCCAAACTCTGGAGAGAAGCCATTGGGAAAAAAGGGCTGGGGAAAGTTAACTCTAATGGCATTCTTCTCCTCAGCAAATGTGTGCAACATGATTTTCCTATCACAAAACCATCTTTAGACAGAGGGACACATATAAGACCATTTGGAAACACCCATGTTCCGAACACTGGCATCTTCTTGACTGTGTCATTGTCAGAGCCTGTGATTGTACTGGTGTCCATATTACACAAGCCATGACAGGTTCAGATGACTGCTGGACAGACCATCGGTTAGTCAGATCAATCACGAACATATGGCTTGCACCATAACACAGTAAACAACTAAAAGACTAAAACTAAAACAACTAAAACTAAAAAATATGGAAGAGATTTAACATCAAGGCATTTCAAAACCATGCTAGTCATGAGACCCTTCCGCAACGCCGCAGTGAGAGGCTCGCTGACCTACCTGACAACATCAATCACATCCAAACACATTGGGAGATTTTAGAGGTCCTGAGCTCCCCCATCTCCTACTGAAGGGAACAGGATCTCCAGCTGGTCAGCACCTTGGAAAATGAGACTGAAAGGATGAAATGTTGCCTCAATTAAATCAGTGGGCATTTTGCCATTGATTTTAATGGAGTCAAGCTCACTTTACATGTCTGAAGTCGGGCATCTAAAAACTGAGATGCTCAGAGGCCATTTCTGAAAATTTGGCCTTAATTCTTATCTAAACTCAGAGGCATAAGATATTCATTATTTATATTACAGTAGTGCTGCCATGTTTATACAGTGACCATAGCCCAGAGCATGGGTATAAAGACATCCTCCTATTTTATACAAAAGGGGTTTTCACTGTATTCCAGGTTTTAGTACCTGAAAACGGCTCACAATCTGGACATCACTATAGGCATACATGGGCCAAATTTTGACCTGGACTCTGTGGTGGTAACTCTACTGGACCCACTGTCAGATGTGCTGCACATTTAGCAGAATATCCTTAATGTTTTCTCCAATATTATCTTGGACAATCGGCAAGGTGCTCAGCTCTGTATTGTAATTATATGCTCCAGAGTTAATTTATAAATGTTGCCAAGAGTTGCACCCTGAACAACAAGACTGTTTAGCATGGTCCTTAGAGTTCTTTTATGAGAAGTTAAGGCAAGTAAATTGATGAAAAAAGAGGCGAGTTCCAAAGAGTTTTATGTGTGAGCCATTTACTACCCATTTTTTCATATGAAAGATAACAAATAAAATGTAATGGACTCTAAATCATAAACATCAATGACCAAAGGAAAAAAAAACTTTTAAAGATATCAAACAAATTGGCTCAAATTTTGCTCTCAATTACATCTCTGCAACCCTATTGACAATAAGTCTATTTCTTGTGACACCTGGATACATCTCTGGATATGCCAAAAGAAAAGGAGGACTTGTGGCACCTTAGAGACTAACCAATTTATTTGAGCATGAGCTTTCGTGAGCTACAGCTCACTTCGTCGGATGCATGCTGTAGCTCATGAAAGCTTATCCTCAAATAAATTGGTTAGTCTCTAAGGTGCCACAAGTCCTCTTTTTCTTTTGGCAAATACAGACTAACACGGCTGTTACTCTGATCTCTGGATATGTTTCTAAAGGAGCACATGCTTAAGAACGTAATTGTAAACTTTAAAGTGCAGTGGTTTTTATAGAATATTGTCCACTTAGGTATTTCCCTTGAGTTATGCCAAAAATAAAGAATATCTTCCAAATCTTTTTTAACATGAGCAAAATTATATTGACTTTTTTGTTTTAGGATACTGTTAAAGAAGTATATAAAAGATGACAAGGATATTTTGTATGGGTTATAAATAATTACAGGTGTTCATTATGGATATGATTTTATTATCTTTGGCACTTGAGCGTTCACGATTTCAGAGTCATAAGTTCTTGAAGTCTGGCAATTGCTATTTGTACAACTTCACAAGATAGATTAGAAAATTAACTATTAAACTAACATTTTGTTTAAAACAAAGATAGGAGGGCAGAGGTTGTTGGTATGAACGGTCTGATCCCATTCACCAAGCAGTTCAGGAATTTAAGGGTAAGTAGTAGCATGCAGTTCTTCTGTGAACCTGAGTTAAAGCTGTTATAGGTTTATAACAGAATAGGAAATTTTTGTATAATGTCTTTCATACAAAGTACTGCAAACACCAAGTTACCACTTACAGGTCAAATTTTGTCTCGTGTTTGCATCTGTAAGGGGTTTGTCCACTCAAGATGGCTACAAGTACATTTAAACACTACTGACACACATAAAATATTTTATCATTAAAGCAAGTGAATTTATGAGGATTTCACAAATTACCTTGGTCAGAGATTCTAGTGAGAATAATAAGGAAAAAACAACAAATTAGCAAATATGCTTTGATGTCACTTTCTGAACTAAATCTTTCAATTTTCAACCTTATGACCTCCTGAGGTCCTTCCAACCCTGATATTCTATGATTCTATGAAATTCTAGGGTTACTGCAGCAAGTTTTGGATTCCATAATACTGATATCAAGAATCATCTGAGGCCCCTATCAGAAATATATGTCTAACTTGCTTTTAACTCAAGGATTACTGTCCCATTCTCTTTGGTTTATTTAAGCCACTTAACATAACATATTATTCGATTCTTCAAAGCAAGGTCCCCTCTTGACAGCAGAGTTCTATTTTGCTGTCATAAGCAATTACAAATGTACACCTATGAAAAGATTCCCAATTTGAGGGGCATAATCAATTTTAGACAGTATATCACTGAAACATGTTCATCCCTTGGGCAGCCAAAATACACAGCTGAGATTTATGAGATCTCACACTGAATTCTCTGTACCTGGAGAAAAATATAGGAACCTATTCTATTCTCTAGGGTAGCAGAAAAGAAAAAAGGACCTTTGTAGAAAGAGATGTATTTATTTTAATTCTACTGTTGTTCACTGTCCTGTTTCAGCACATGTTCTTTGTCATCCTCCAGCCCGGGCTGGATTTAGGGGTGCCAGGCTCGGGGGTGCTGTTTTTGTTGTTAGCGGCAAAAGGGAAAATAGAATGTTTGAAGTAACATGTTTCAGGTATTCTGTATGTGGATTCATTTTTCACTAACTTTCTAGAATGTTCTGGACCTTTGTAGAATCTCATGGAACCTTCCAGGCTTTCTGAGCACTACATTTTCCTCAAACCTCCTAGAATGTTGTCAGCCATGCAATTGCGGGAATCTAAGGGGCGGGGCATCGCTAGTCAATCAGTGAGACATAAGAACGAAGTGAGAGCCCAGCTGCAATATTGTGAACCTTGTTTTATTGTGTAATTGTGAAAGTGTACTTGTGTTTTAAGATTTGAAGAGTGTAAGTAGCAACTAATAAAGGACATATTTAATGAGACGCCAGAGATATCTGTCAAACCCCTGTCTCTGTAGCAATATAAAAGAAATACCGGTATTCCTTTTGCTATACTTAACACGTAACGTTTGATGACTTTCTAAGACTTTGGAATACAGACTTTTGCTCTCCCTAATACTGTCCGTTTCCCCCCATAGAAAATAAAAGATGTCCCCGAAGAAGCCTTCAGGAGCTCAGTATAGGAAGCGAAATGCTCAGTTGCAATCCAGTTTGCAGCACGGGGCAAATTTTACAGAGCCTATGACAGGGATAAAATATGCATGCAAATTTTGCGTCAAAGCCGTGAAATGGGCTACAAATGCAATAAAAATAAGGTATTCAAAAGTTTAACAAATGAGGGGGGGCACCAAAGGCACTCCTCGCCAGGAGCACCATTTGGTCTAGGACCAGACCTGCCTCCAGCGAAGAACCTTAACATATGGGTGCTGCTATCATGTTAGGTGATGACTGAACATTGTTTAACAGTGCTCAAGAGTCACACCAAGCTTTCATTTAGGACATGATCTGAACTCTTTACTCACATAAGCAATGCTTACTCAATGGAGCTATTCTTGTGTGTAGGGATTATTTGCATGACTAAAGGTTGCAGCCTCATGTTTACACATCCCCTCTATATGGACTCTCCATTCCTACCTCCTTCTACCCCAGCCCCCAGGAGCAACGTCCCCTTTCAAAATGAACAGTAAGAATCAGAGGACTTAAAGAGTCAGACCCAGAATTTAGCTCCATGGAAGTGCAACCAAATGATCACAATAACTTCCTTGCAGAAGTCAGCATTTAACAGACGTATAAGAACAATATTGAGCAATACTTCTCTGTTACAATTTGTAAATTATTACACATCCTTCACATATTCTCCTCACTGTCCCATCTTTATAAATTCCTACCTGGAATATTTAGACTTGCTGAAGCTTCAATATGCTTTGCTAGCTCTTGGCTTGGAAGAATTATGGGGGGGCTGAACACATTTAACCAGTCCCTGAAAAAGATGAATCCAAATGTCAGTCATTCTGAACAAAGTTGTTTTGTTCCTCCCTAAATCTCACAATTAAGTTAAAAACTTTTCATAAACATCTTAGGTGTGATGAAACAAAATAAAGCCAGATTTCCAGATGTTATCAAATTATGTGCTTTTCACATTTAATAAACTCAATAGCAGCAGTCTTCAAAAGTTTGAAAATTAAGGTGTACTTAGCAGCAAAACGAGTATCTCCTAGGTAGAAATCTCTAGACAGTTCTACAGTGAGCCCTAAAGCTCACAAAGTAATTTTCCTTCAAGTAAACACATTCAGGAATATGGGTATTTGACTATAACAGAAAATATCTGAACAACAACAAAACCCACCTCTATTTTAAAATTACCCATTTTCTGTGCATTGCATTTTGATATACTGCTAACACCAACTACTAAACCAAAACTAATGAAATAAGCACAGTTAACCAGATATACAATGGAATTTCATAATCACAGACAAATACACATTAAAACACATTCATAACAACACATCTATAAAGACTTCTCATGGACTTTCTTGCTAATGGAGCATTTTCTAACAACATTTTATTTTGTTTCTCTAATTATAGCAGACAGAAAAATTCCTATATGGCAGCAAATTACAGGTTTCTATTAAACTGCAACACAGTTAGCTCATTAAATGAATATACTTGCATAATCATACACATACACATATTTACACGTGTATACACTTCTGGTCTGATTTTCAAAGGAACATTTGTTTTTATTTACTGCATTATTATTTCCAGAATATATCCAACAAAAGTGATAGGGAAGAAGAATGTTCAATGTAGTTTAAAAAAAAAAAAGGGGGAGTGGGGAATTAACAACAAGTACCAGACCCTTATAAATGAGAAAATTATACAACAGTATCTTAAGTCTTATTACCCACAGTCCATGATGGCAGAGGGAGAGAGAGAAGAGAGCATAGTACCACAACCACAGAAAGGCCATATGCTCTTCTGGGCAGGGCCCGTAGTTTTGTTATGTGTTGGTCCCATGCTTAACACAACAGGCTTGAAACGCCTCGGTGCTACTGCAGTACAAACAATAAAAACAACAATATGTACACATTCACTAGGGTACCTTTTTGTATAACTACCACAGAGCTAAGAAATGCAGTGTAAATTAAGAACACATTTTACTCGCCGAATATATAGTTAGAAGACTATGGAGAAGGACCCCTCCCGGACCCAACTGCTGCAGTGGTGTTTTGCTTCAGTAAATAACAAAATTTGGTGGGCCTTTGATAATTAAGATTTGGTGGGCCTTCGGTAATTAAGAAGGGAGTCTGGGCCAGTTAATCCATGGATGGCTTATTTACCCCTTATTTAACTTGACCTGCTTTTTATGCCTTTGTTGCACTTTGTATTTTCTAAAGCTTTGTGAAATGACTTTCATGTTATCATGTGTTCACACAAAATCCAATTGTTCATATACTGCACTCCATTTGTTGCAGTTGAATGTGGTATGACAGAAAGCATCGTATTTCAGGTAATGGAGAATAAAACAGACCTTTAGGGAAATGTGTGTTTTGGTTGCAGACTAAGCTGCAGACTTTTTCACCAACAGAATTTGGGCAGAAGTTGCCGCATCAGCATGCCCAGGTTACCAGGGCAGTTCTTTCACATTACACTGTGAATCAAACCGGCTCTTGCACACCACTAGGGGGCCATGTTTCAGTATGGAAAAATAGCTGCAAGTACATGGGCCCATCAGTTTCTACGGCAGGACTCTGGTATTTGTCAGAACTTCCACATAAACCATGAACTAGCCTTAAATGCATTAAAAGCCTTAACAGTTGAACACGGAATCCCGATGTGGACCTTGGTAAACAACCCTACCTTATTAGATTAAGGCATGTCTCCAGATAGGTCCCTCCTGCTGGGCCAAGCTGTACTCAGTGCAAAACTGAAGGTGGTGGGGGAGGGAGGGAAGGGACAAAGGTGCCTTTAAAGGTGCCACCCTTATGTTTGCCTCATGCTGGGGCTGGCTTAGGACTGGGTGGGTTTCTGGCATAAGTCAGAGCAATTTCCGGGCTGCCGTAACTAATACCTTATTGGTCGTGGTTCCAACGGGCTGTTCCAGCAGCCAGACACAGGGATGTCCTGGGCACGTCCCTATGCCGTAGGCCAGGAGGACAAGGTGCAAGAGCTGCTAAGGTGGCTCTTAACCACTCAGTGATTCCTCTGGGCTAGGGGAATGCTCATGAAGCCAGCCAGATCTGCTGGCTTTTCACTACTTTCTGGCTGCCAGCTTGGGGCCCATGATCTGGCACATAATAAATATGTAAGATACTGGTGCTTACAGTGCTTTCTGCAAATCCATGCCGACCTGAGATAACACATACTCGGATTTATTTCTGAAAGAGAAACCTGGCAGAGCTCAGTTGGATACTGTGGCTGCTAAAATAGGCCTTTTGCTTTCCTTCTCTCAGTTGGTTCTTGTGCTGCTGGTGCATGTTATTGCTTCCACATCATCTGCTACTGGTCTGTACACACAATCTGGGGTGAATCTGGGGACATACACCTGCTCTTTTGCAGCCAAGATGAAAAAACCTAATTTTCCACCTCAGAAAACACAACTGCTGGGGCAAAAGTTCACCAAGTACAATAGAGGATTTAAAGAGATATATATTGAATTTTCCACAATTTCAATATGTACAAAATAAAATTTAAAATGTTCTTTTATACCATCCTTGTATTTGCACCTAGATGACCAACTTCACAACCAGTCCTAGCTACCACTCAGCCACTAGCAGTGAGGACCAGTCCACGCCGCGCACACAACAGCATACTTTCTCCAGACTGCTCATTACCATTTCTCTCTGCCACTCTCCACACACACATTCTCCAAAAACACCCTAAAGAGTGTCCCCCTTCCACCCAAGTGTCCAAAGCGTCACAGAATGCCAGTTAGGTAAGAGAGTGCACTAGAATGCACAGAGTCACAGGTAAAACCACTCCAGTTCCTGCAATTTGCATTTCTGGTATTATCTACCTTGAGCACAAGCTCTTGAGTTTTTGTGCTTCTGCTGGGACCAGGGTTTAATCATAATTAGCTGACATTATAGTTAATCTCAGATTTGACCTGGTTCATGCTGGGTGGTCAGTCATGATCAAGCATCGTGACAGCTAACTTGACTCTTCACAATCACATTCAAACACCACTACGTTTTGAGCGAAGACAAGCTCCAAGAGAAATTACAGGGGGAATTGAAAGAATATGAAAGGTAATGTTTTGCTGGAGCATGTGTCTTAATACCCTACACCAGCAAAAAACACCACAAAATCTTTAAGGAAGAGTGGTGGGTCAGATCCAGAGAGAGAGAGAGAGAGAGGACTAGACTGTGTCTCATCTGAAGGATAGTACCTCCAGGAGGTGCCTATTAATACCATACTGGTGCAATGGCCAATTTTTAAACTGCAATATCTTGGCTCTTTAAAATTTTTTTCTTTTCAATTTAATATTATGGACTCCTTGTTGGCCAAAAGTTACTTTTAAATTTGAAGCCATTCAAACAAATGCATGTTAAAAATGGATCTCATATTTCCACACATGACCAACCCAACCTTTTCCAAAATTGGCAAACAAAATTTCTATCTGTGTTGAGATCTTGTCTGCCAACTTTCAGAAGAAAGCAAAGATTTGCAACGGATTGATAAGCCTCTAAAAAGTGGATTTCTAGTGGAAATGCTGACAGATGCTTTACTCTAGCAACCAAGGCAGGCATTAGGCACACATTAAACTGGTAACCTCTAGGGGCTCAGCTTTCAAGGAAGCACCTAAGATAGCATGTGTGCGTGAGCGGGAGAGAGTATAAGTGAGCTACATTTTTTATAACATTCCTTGTTGAAATCGTTTTTATACCTTTGTATAAAATAAGAAGTCTAGCAGACGACTGGTCATTAGAATGCTCAGCAATGTAGATTGTGGGCTGCGTGTCTAATTTATCCTTCATCGTACACTGACTGAAGAAATAATCTTCTTAAAGAAGCCAGTTTATCTCCTCAAAACAGAAAAACTAATCAAGCATTTTGATTAATTAGAGACACCCTCTGTTTATGCTATTGTCAAGACCTCAAGCTGTAATCAATACAATCAACACACCGGGACCTAGCTATGGCTTTCTTGATAACAAAGTTGAATGCTAAACAGTACACTCTTTGACATTGTGAGTTACATTATGTGAAGGCCCAGAAGAGGCAGTTTTCATAAACATTCAAAGTTAGGTTTAGCTCTGACTTTGACACTAAGATTCTTACAGTAATACCGAAACTCTAAGGTGCCACAAGGACTCCTCGTTCTTTTTGCTGATACAGACTAACACGGCTGCTGCTCTGAAACCTATACAATGTTACCATCTCATTCCCTTTTTCCTCCAATATTTGTATCAGAAAATCTGTCTTATATATTCAGGAAGTAATTATAATATATTGAAAATCACAAGATAGTTGAGCAACATTTAAATATGAACATAATCATTTGTATTTCTGTAAACAGTTTCTGTTATAGCTATGTGACAAGCTTAATTAATCTTTGCAACAAATTGTTCCGATCAGTGAAGTATGCTTGGGAAACCTTGCCAATACTTTATAACTAGCGTGGACACAAAGCCTTTGCCAGTGACAGTAACAGTAGCATATCACAATTGTCACCATTAACAATAAATTGCTAGCAACAGCAGAATTCAGGAGCACTGCAGGTCCCTTCTTGAAACGTTAGAGCTTGACAACACGGTGTGGCAAAGTGCACCAGAGGGGTGTGATTTGTAAAGTTAACAGTCCCACATAGACCCTATTGGCCTGCTCTAACAGGTACCTCTTTCACACAATGCAGACAGATCTGGACGAGCTCCCCCTCGTAGACACATGCCGGACTGCTTGCTGTGAGGGGATACAACAGTTGGATCCTGTGTGTTTTAAACCTCCAGAATCTGAACTGAGACTAGACTCTGCCATTGT